GAAAGCGTAGCAAATTTCTTAAGAAAATTGGCACAAGAAAATTTATTAAATTAATTAATTAATTTCTTGTACGTCATTTTGTATGGAGTTTTTGCTTTTCTTGAGAGCTGTATACTGGCCTTAAGGTAGAAAAGGCAACATCAAATGTATAGATATATATAGAATCAGGGAAAGCTAAATCGTTAATGTGCTTAATCGAATATACTCTATCTCTTTAGCAGAAAAAAGATAATTTCCATAAAATCCGGGTCATTTATAGATTTTGCGAAAAAGGTATTTTGTAGTTAACTTTGTAAATATTTTACTTTAATTTTATTAATTAGTTTTTAAATTTTAATCCTTATTTGTGTTTGCCAGTAGTGTAAAATTTGGGAGATACATAAGAACATGTCTTTTTCAGGTCTATTTTATTTTTAAACTTTGTATAAAAAACTGTATAGACTTGGTCGAATGAATTGCCTCCTAGTCACCAGTTGCGAATCTATTTGATTACTGAGTATAAGGTAGGCTGGGTCGATTTTGTATGGGGGAAAATAAAAGTCATTTGACCGCATTGTAATAGTAATATTATGATGTCTTATGTCTCAGCCAAATGTTACTGGCCACGAAAGATTAGTTTAAAACTTATCTTTAGCCCGCGCAATTGAATCAAAGTGTATGAATTTTGAAAATGAAACTTTGGCTTGTAAAATCTATGGAATGCGTTATTGTTATAAACAGAACGATATATCAAATTATCACGTTCATTTAACATTTTTCAATAAGTCTACACGTTTTTAAGATATTAAAATAAAAAATAAGAAAACTATGATTTTCCCTTATGAATTTTAAATTCCTCATTACTTCAGCAACCAAGTGAAAAATACAAAAAAGTGAGGCGAGATTTATTTCAAACCTTTTAATGTTTATATAATATTAAAATGACCATGGACTTGGTCACGCCGATTTGGTCAGTTTTCAAGATCGTGGTGAATAAATGTATTGTCAAAGATTAGGAATCGTTCGACAAGTTAATAGTAGTTTCAAACATATAAGTATTTACATACATTACAATTAGGGTGAGAAACGCCCATTTTAAGTCCATTTTTGCAGTCTTGAAAACTGGTGCGGAATGGTTTCATTAGTCGCCGCAGAAGCACATTTATCGCGGTTTCTAAATTTGCCGTTATATGAAAGTAGGGGACGGCAATAAGTGTTTAGATATACATAAATATTTTAGTTAATTCCATTATGTGAAAAAGTGTCTGTAAGTAAATGCAATAGTCTTTAACATATCCTGGGAAATCCTTTTGCGGACTCTCCAATTGGACGATATTGCTTTGCATTCAGCTTGAACGAAAAAAGTCACTCGCTTGCACAGTTTTCTGTAATCCGGTTCTTTTATTTAAAGGTTATTTATACAATTGAAGAGAAATTTTTTTAGAAAAAAACTGGAAATCCACTTAAGTTTTTCGATATAACTTTGGTAAATGTTACTCNCAAAACCTTGGTAAATGTTACTCGATCGGTGCGTAATAATTAACAAATTGAAGGCGAGACTTAATGTTACTGATTTTTGATAATAATATGACTAAAATAGTTCAGATTATAAACAAATTATTTTAAAATAAAAAAATCTTGAACAAAATTTTTTATCATTTTCTTATATTTGCAATTTTTATATTGTATGCATAAACATAAGTAAACCAATTAGTGTGTCTAGAAGTTGTGCCTGTTCAGTGTTTCCATACTAATTTGCATAAACAAAATTTTTCCGCGATGATGGAAAATAATGGCTATTCTATTAGAGCTACCGAAATTGTTCCTAATTTTGCAAAAAAATCGCAAACTATAGCTAATATTAAAAAATGATGAGAATATTTGGAACTAGCGATCTAAATGCACGCCAGCAATATTAATGTTGTTCTTTACATCTTTTGACTATAGGCCAGTGCAATTATCAAGAGAACACTTAAAATTTTCTTGAAAACAGATGAGTTTGAGATTAACGATAAGATAAAGGGCTGCGCGAAATGATACTTGACTTTATCTTTTGCGTTAAAGGATTCATTATCTATTAATATGCACCAAAATTTTTGGCTAAACCCACAATTTTTAACAAGAATTAGTCTTATTCGACTAGTGTGCTGTGGGTCACTTGGCGGTCGATGCGCGGGCTCTTACAATTAAAATGAAAGACTAATATTTCGCAGGCTTGTTGTTGATTGAATTGTTGATTGATTGAAGGGATTTGAGAAAAATTTGATTTTCGACCCGCCCCACAGTGTAAACTTTGACCCATCTAGCTGCTTTTAATTCTGTAATTCGAAAACTATTGAAGATAGATTAATGAAATTTTGCACAAGGTACGTTATAAGATAGGCGAAGCTTTTTACAAAAAATTGGTAATTTATAGTTACTGCCACCCTATTATATAACTGCAATTTTTAAAAATGCAAAAACTGAAATATTTAACTAACTACAAAGGCTAAAATGACCAAAATTTATATTTAGAATTTCCCTATAACAAGGAATTATAAACTGACAGAAATGGACTTAAAAATAAATATATTTTTTTAATTATGGGCGTGGAAAATATCGATAAAAAAGTCAAGTTGGGTCAACAAAATTCCGTTATAAGTTCAATATTTCTTGCTCTATTTACAAAAATGGGATACCATTGGAAAGGTAAGGAATCAGGCTTTCTCTATTCAAAGCAAAAATATAAAAATTTGTCTCGGTCGAGATAAAATGCAAATGAATTACTCGAAGAAAATAAAATTCCAATAGGCCAGAAAAAAGAAAATTTCATCAAAACCTGCACTTTCCAGCAGCTAAAATTGTGTTGTATAAAGTCTAAGAGGAGTGGCAAATAAACTGAGATACAAACTTTATCGAATAGTGGCGGATAACGAGTTTTCGGGTCTAATAAAAATAATAATTTGCTAAAAATAAGTCTAAGTCAACAACGTTTTACTTTAACATGAAATACTAAGTCCTAGTTTACTAAAATCCCAAAAATGTATATTCATTAAAAAGAGCATACCTAAAAAAATAAGACCGAAATGATATTTTAGCAATTGTTGCATAAGTAACATAACACCGACAAATTAAACATTGAGATTCAGTTTCAAATATACAAGTTTAAATATTATTGCGCTCAGTAATTTTCCAAATCAAACCCCGTCCAGCCATACACTTTGATTTAAATTTTTTAGTTGTTATTGTTTCGTCTTTATTAGGCATTTCTAAAAACATTCTTGACGTTGTTTTGAAATTTGGCGACATAAAATAATGTAATTAATCTTTTCAAGAATATGGAAATGATACACTGTGCGCCCCACAGTGGTTCGGATCGCAAATCTAGCTGGACGAAACTATTTAAACAAATACTCGTTGATGGATCTTTACACCACTTCTTACCTAGGGAATTTTTGGGTCGCTGATTACGAATCAGAAGTCACTTATCAAAAATTAAAAATGGCGGATCCAATATGGCGGACGAAAATTAAAAAAAATCGGTAAATTTCTATGACACTGGGTATCTGGGGGTTTTCTGGGTCTCTAATTACATATCTAAAGTCATTTACCAAAAATTCAAAATGGTGGATCCAATATGGCGGACGAAAATAAAAAAAAAATCGGTAGATTTCTATGTAACTGGGTATCTGGGGGTTTTCTGGGTTGCTGATTACCCATCTAAAGTCATGTACTTAATTTACTTCGGAACGAGCATTTTCATCAGATATTTCTTTCAATTTACTAATCACATAATCACGGACACCTTGTTGTCTTTCAGAAGTTTCAGCAACACTTCTCCAAATGTCAAACAACTCACTTCTTAAGATTTTCTTTACCATGACTAAAATTTAAGATCACAGCAAGAAACGCAAATAAATTTCAGAAAAAAATTTATAACAGCGCTTAAAGATTTGCATGCCTGTTGTATAATGTTTTAATTTCAGAAAGCAGAAAATTCGCGAGTTACTATTTTTTTAACTCTTACATAACCAAAGTTTTTATAACTCCAAGTATTTTTCTGGTTAAAAACACAACCTCCCCCCCCCCTCTTCCCGGTGGATCCGCCACTGATCTTATATTTATATTCAGATACATAGCTGTTAATAATTACTTTTGAATTTTGAGATTTGACATACTGTCACTAAAATGTAAATATCTAAGCCAATTGGTTAGACTTGGTTATCGAACTTACCCTCTGCATTTGCGAAGGTGTAAAGAATAATATGCAAGTGGCTTTATAACGGCCTTCGGCGGCCTTTACTTTTCCTACTCTTTAATTTATCTTTCTAATTAATCAAAACGATGATTTTTCAGAATAAATTTGCCTATACCAATGTGGATATAAATTGCGTTATGACCCCTGAATCTATAGCGGAATAAGTGTAATTTTTTGTTTATAAAGTCAATTTGCAATTATGCAAATATCTGTGAGTGCAATTAGCAATCTTTTAAGTTAAATTTCAGCTTTTAAAACAGAGTTCTCAAATAGGCGGCGTTGACTTACCTTTTTTTGTTTGTTTTCATATGTTAATGCTTTAATAAATGCAATTTCTATTTGAATGTATTGTCAGGAATGTATTCCAAGTACCATTAAGTATTTTAAAAACAAAAAAATTTTGACTTTCGTGCAGCTAGATCTGCTATCCGAACCACTGTGCGCCCTAGTATAAGGCCTTATGTTGGATAAAAGGGGGAGTATAAAGGCCTCAAAATGGTGTAAATTAGCCTATGGTTACAGAAGATATGTAAGCAGTGGGCAGTGGAACTCAAAATCGTCATTCATGTAATAGAGTCAATATTGGTAATAAGCAAAATTCCAAAGTGTATGAAAAAAGTCAAATTTCGACAGTTTTGCGATACTAGTAAATATAATTGTGCTTGTATTGAAATACATTTTACGAACTGTAGTTACATTAGAAAATAACATCTTATTTACTATTTTATTCTTTATATTTAAATACGAATGCAGGCTATCCGCTTAAATTTTCATATGCAACTTATTAAGCTCTGACTTCTATACTTAATAGTGGCTCCACTTTATAGCTCAAAGTAACGTTTGGCATGAAAACGATATCATCATATTTAAAAGTTGTTGAGAATTTAAGACTGCGAAGTAAAGTTATTAATAATACGTGCACTGTGAATTCTGCGTAACGGACACCTATAATGCAAACAGAAAACAAATTTGGTTCGACTACTGATTGATTTTCATAGCTTCTGTTTAATTTACCTATGCAATTTCGCGGTCCTTTTGAGAAAGCCATATACGCACACGGATGACGCTTTGCAATATTTTCAGGTAGGAAGTTTTCGGGGTTAAAACGAGCTGCTTCCGGGCCCCAAAGCTCTTTGCGTCTGTGCAATTCGAAAATTGGTATGATAACTTGCATTTCCTTAGGAATTGTTATACCCGGCCGCAGTTCGGTTTCATTTATAGCTTGCCGTCCAATGTACGGTATTGGTGGAGCTACTCGCAATGCCTCTGCTATGACCATATCCAAGTACGGAAATTTTTTCAAATCATCGTATTCCACTGAAGTGATTCCGTGTGGAAATACAGAACGAACTTCTTCAAATGCACGTTCCTGAATTTCCGGATGCATCGCCAGCAACACAAGCGCCGAGTACACCACTATAGCTGAGGTCTCGTAGGACTGAAAAATGGTTAAAAATCAGTCAAGACATGTGTGCTTAAGCGACATTATTTTTGTTGATTTAAATGACATTGCGCTATTACATAATTCGGCACGCTATTTGTTACTACTACTATATGTATATACGTACATTTCGTCGATGCTTTTGTAAAACCGCCCATCGTCCAATTGCAAAACCGCCTATCTTACGGCACTAAAATTTTACAGGAGTTTTTTTTTTTGAAGGCAATGCTTTGAGAGGTGGTATTTTCTATAGCTATTATAAATATGTTGTCTTAAAAGCCAGTTTATGGTTTTTATGCATAAATCTCGATGCCTGGAGTTCAGGGTTACCAAATCTAATTTTCGCCACAACGGCGATTTAGGTAGTTTTGCAACTGGTCGATGGGCGGTTTTGCAAAAACATCGACGATATGTACCTTTGCGGTCAGCTGATTTATAGTGTTTTCGTTTCTCTTTTTTGTTCGATTTTCAAAAAGTTGTGTGTTCGTTTCTTAAAATGTCGCACCCTTGTATGGCAAAACGTGGATGTTCTCTGTTCTTTGAAGAGAGGGAGAGATGGTTGCCCTGAAAATCAGATGGTTGCTTAAAACGACAATATTATGAAATTAGCGAGCTTGAAAAGGACAAGAAGGCAAAAGGGGGTGAGTGTAACATCAAACACATTTGGCACCGTGGAAGGATAACATTTTTTGGAAGAAACGAAATCACCATAAGTTAGGTGATATGTCAGTACAGTGGCGACTCTCGTTGTGATAAGATCATTTCTAGTCGTCAGCTTAACTAATCTGTTTCCACCAGCTATCAATAGTGAAGAAACATAAACCAAAAGAACAAAAAATAAAAAATTAAATTTGCTTACCATACTGTGAAACCAACAAATAAACAAGAATATTAACATACATAAAAACTAAACCACCAAAAACAAACACCACGTGCAGACGTGGTGCACTAGTAACTAGTAAACAAATAAGACCAAAAAGGAAGGAGAAAAAAAAACAAGTGTAGTGAGAATTTACAATAGTTTCGGCTCCACTAACATTGAACCACATGAACGACTCTCCTAATATAGCAAAAACTTTCAATCAACCTTTATTGCAATGGGACAAAACCATAAAACCAAAATTTTTAAGCTTAGGACCAAAATATCTCATTATGACCAGAACCAATAACATTAATACACTCTCCAACGTTCCCCCTTTTTACTTAAAAAGGCTATCGACATTACGTGCAGTGGTGAGGTTGAAGAATGTAAGAAAACTCGTAGTGGAAGTGTCTTAATAAAAACAAAAAATCATGTTCAAGCAAATAAATTAATAACATTAACTGCTCTTTCTAACGAAATTACAGAGCACAAAACATTGAATTATTCCAAACTTGTGATTTACTGTAACGCCCTCCGTGGCATCCCCCAAGACGAAATTTAAATCGCAAAACGTGTGCCAAGTTGAAAAAATCCTTAAAAAAGATAACAATAACTTCATAGAGACGGGACTAGTGATCTTAACATTCGATTCAACTACATTACCAGAAGATATTCGTATTGGCTATGAAAAATATCCGACCACATATACCGCGACCACTCAGATGCAATAATTGCTTTTACTATGGACATATCTCCAAATGTAAAAAAACAAAACATGCCCTTTCTGTGCAAAAGACTACCATTTAAATTCAGAAAGTAAAGAAGAGTGTAGAAACACTAAACTGTGCATCAACTGCACTAAATCCAAAATTACTCCAAACGACCACGCAGCTATAGACAAGAAGTGTCCAATATTTATTAAACAGCAAGAGCTGCAAGCAATAAAAACAACACTCAAAGTTGATAACAAGACTGCCTTCACCATTTATCAAGAACGTCACAAACACGATCATGCCACATACCTTTCTGTTATTACCACCCAGCCACCGATTGAAGCTAATAGCCAATCTCAACCAACAACCGTATTACCACCGTTTCCACCGCGACCAGCTCAACTCAACTCACCCATCAGCACTACAAATCAACACGGACGGCCAGTCGCCACTTACAGCGATGTTGTAATTGACTGCGACTCTGAACCAAATTCAACTACATCAACACGTGATTTAGCTTCGAAAGTCATCTCCAACACCAAACTCAAAATCTTCCCGAGAAATACCTCAAAACGCCTCATATCTCAGTTAAAAAGTAAAAACAAACCAAGTACAAAAACTAATGTCAAACAGTCTGGCAAAGCAACAATTAATTACGAAATCGAAGAAGCTATGGAGGATTTTTAAGTTTTCTGAGCTGATCCAAAAGAAAATATTTAGCCCTTTTCTTACGACTATTATTTATCAATCACACACATATCTATTATCAATCAACTTATACAACACAACTACAAATTATAATTTACCTATACTTAGACTTACATTTACGTATACAGCAACAATACATCAAAAGTTACGATCTTTTATCTGCAACCTAAGATATGAAACTTGAGATACTACAATGGAATATTAGAGGCTATGTTAACAATTATAATGAGCTATTGTTGTTAATAAAGAAACATAACTTAAAGGTAATGGCCCTACAGGAAACGCATATCCAACCCAATTCACCCATTCCTATCCCAATTAACTTCTCCATTTATACCCTCAACACCTCCAACGCTTTTGGAGGGGTTGCCATACTTATTCACAATTCTATCCAGCACGAACCTTAAATAACGATTTCGATGCTATCGGTGTAAAAATATACTCACAAAAACAGTTAAATGTGATATCCGCTTACATATCACCCAACAAAAACTTCAACTCAGCAAATTTGCAAAGTGTCCTCGGAACTTTCACGTCCTCTAGCCTGATAATAGCGATTTCAATAGCAGGCATCCCAATTGGGGATCTGTTTACACCAATCGCAGAGGTAGAATCCTAGCTGACTTCGTTTCTCAATCTAATTCCATTATTCTTAACGACAATTCCCCAACTCATTTTAGCACACACAATACTCTTACGCACATCAACATCTCAATTTGTTCCCCCACTATAGCTGTCAGCTGCAGTTGGGCTATACAGGACGACTTATATGGAAGCGACCACTTCCCCATAGTTATATCACTTTTCCAAGCTCAGCAACCTATTACTAAAACAGCCAGTTGGGAATCATTTAAGCAACACTCAAATAAAAACAACTGTAACCGCCCGGTAGCAGATAATATAAATAAAGAGGCCGGAAATATCAATAAAATTATACTTCAAGCCGCGCATGCTTCTATCCCCCAATCTAACCCGAATAATTACACCCACAATGTCCCATGGTGGAATTCAATGCTACAAGAGCTTCGTATTGAAAAAAATAAGTGCTGGAATTCCCTCAAACGAAACATTAACCAAGGCAACGTGATGAGGTACNTGCTACAAGAGCTTCTTATTGAAAAAAATAAGTGCTGGAATTCCCTCAAACGAAACATTAACCAAGGCAACGTGATGAGGTACAATAATGAGCTAATGCGATTTTTAAAAGGGAACTCAAACAATCCAAAAGAAAATCATTGGAAGACTGAAGGATGTACCTCCAGTTAGCGTTAACTAGACATGGTGCAAATGGCCCTTAGTGGTTATAAAACAAAACACGGAATCCATTGCCTGAAGAGTCGAAATGCACCCTTTTTAAACATTACAGATTGTAAACAAATTGCAGATTAGTTTGGCTTGCATTGGTCCAACTCATCTAATGATAGTAACTTCCCGCTGTTATTTCAAGAGAAAAAACCTATATCTCTCAACATGGCGTTTCCACAAACGTCCGACGCCAAAGCATTGGAAATGGAAGGAGATATAAATTTAATCGAACTTAAATCCGCTCTGCAAAACTTCAAAGGTAAAACACCTGGTTACGACCGAATAACGTATTCTATGATCTCTCAACTTACCTGTCAGTAACAAAAAGATTACTTAATTTCTACAATAGCATTCTCAAATCACATATCCCTCAATCCTACAAACTTACTATAATAACCCCTATTTTAAAACCTAAATCAAACAAAACTGAAATCAATTCATACCGGCCGATTTCCTTAAACCCATGCTTCTCCAAACTATTGGATAAAATTATATCAAATAGGTTATGGTGGTTTGTTCGAAATAACAAGCTCATACATAACAACCAGATTGGATTTAAGCGGGGAAAATCATTAACAGATGCTCTATTATATGTAGATCATCATGTTGCAGAATCTTTATCCGCAAGAAAACATCTGTCAATAATATCACTCGATTTCGAAAAAGCATTTGATAAAATTGGAATCCACCCTATTTTAGATCAACTGCTTGAGTGGAAAGTCGGGCCACGAATTTGCAACTATATAAGAAACTTTATGACCCATAGGAAAATTAACGTCAGATTAGACAATCTCCTTTCCGAAACTTACCCACTTCAAAACGGGATCCCGCAAGGCTCCCCCCTATCTGTAATTATATTCCTAATAGCATACAACAAGCTTTGTGCCACAATTTCCTTTTATAAAGAAGTCTCGTTCTGCGCTTATGCAGATGATTTTAATCTTTTAATTAAACAAAAAAAGGATAAAAATCTTAGTATTGATCTAAATAATTTATTCGAAGACATTAACTCCTGGTGCAACTACTCTGGTGCCTCACTCTCGGTACAAAAATGCAAACACCTACATATATGCCATAAAAAACAGTGTTCGCCTTCTGTGCAGTGCAACAACATCCAAATAAATAAAGTAGATACTTTAAGAATACTAGGAGTCACGTTCAACAAACAATATAATTGGAATTCACACATAGCACTTCTACAACATGACATTTCACAATGCGGCTATAAGAACCGCACTAGGAGCATTTAGAACGACCCCGATTAATAACATGCTTTTTGAAGCTAACATTCCCTCAATAGAAGCGAAAAGGGACTATATCACAAACAAACTAAACAAAGTACTTATGAACAGCTATGATACCCCCCTCTTCAAAATGGTTCAAACCTACAAAAAAAATAGGCCATCTAA